GGTGAAAAAAGTTAAGTTTTTTACCAAATCCATTTAGTTGCGAGATAAGGTTTATTTTAAGGTCTTGTTTATTTATTTGGCTACCACTTGGTAGAGGAAAGGGCTTAATAATGGCCTTATTGCTCGCGCCTGGTGTCTCCCTCTTCAACCAATCACCAAGCCACATGATACTGAGAATATTCGTTTAGACTTCATGTGGTAGAAGACTATAATACCTTTGATTCTTGAAAACTTCATTTAATCGCTAGCTTTCTCTATAAATTTCTAACCGTGGTTATTAGTTTATTACCTAGTTCAAAAAGAAAGTCACTGTTTGGTTTACAGGAATTCAATATATAGTCTAATGGATATACATAAATTACTCTCTACCAAAGAAAATAGTTACACTTTTCCATCTCTTTCCATCAAGTCCATAGGGTATGCAGTTAACAAAATTATCACTGTACTGATCACCAACATCGGTCCAAAAATCGTCGACCTTATGATGGGATTTGTTAATAGAAAATTCTGGATAATATTAAGTGTTGTTTTCTTTTGATTCTGTAACTTGTGGGCAGCCGTCTTACACGTAGCTAGTCTATAATTCGTCCATCCAGAGAACTGAACATTGTCGCTGCTGTCGGCCTTGCAAAGTCTTCCATTATTCAGTGGAAAAACCATCCATCTTATTGTAGATATATATTTTCTTTTTCACACTCTTTGTACTCTCTCGTTAGTTTTAATTGTTACTTTGCCATAAAAGAGCGGAATAGAGAGACATCGCAAGTTTGAAGAAACTCCCACAAAGAAAAAAGTGTTTGCAGGGAATTTCGGTCTAGATAATGTGGGAAAATCGAGAAATTCCCTAGATAATCAGTAAATCTATATTACCCGCTGCCTGCTTCATAAATTAGATAGATTAGAGTGACACGACCAAATTTTTGTTTCTATTTCAGGGCTATTGCTGGAAACAGATAGCAAGAGTAAAGCCTTTACTTATTACAATACTCATTATTGGATTGGAAACACCACCAAAATGTATTTATATAAGTATGTGCCTCTATTGAGAGAAAAATGAGACGATTCAAACTCGTACATCGGACATCATTTAGGTCAGCGAATTTATGGTGAAATATGGAGTAGAAACGGCAAGTTGTAAAATGAACTCAGCTCTACACGTCTTATGAAATTGCGACATTTTCTGATAAGCTTGTGCGTAATACAATCTTTCAGATTGAGTGATTAGATAAAAAAAAACCGGTTTGCCCAGAGTTCACACACACGTCTTTCCTCTTTCCTCTTCCCAAGACAAAAATCTATTGACGATCAAAGGGAGGGGAAATTTCATAACGACTTGCGGTCAAACCAAGCGTTGGAGTCATAAAAAAGTGTCACAAACTAGTGTAAAACAGATTTGTTAAATATAGACCGCAGAGATTTCCAGCGAGTTTTATGAATTTAGCAACTTAATTAAATCTCATGATTTACTACACCTTGATAATAGATAATTTACAATATTTTAATTAACTATCTAGCGATTTCTTAGACTGTTTCGAGCATAAAAGCGAATTGCAAAACCTAAACCAAGCATAGTTCGTGTCCCAGCCACTGTTAGAACCCACCACTATTTAGACGGTATGTCGGGAATATCCTTTCTACTCTGCCTAGGGCTGATCGCCTGGGCTAATGCGAAACCCCAAACTAGCGGACGTATTGTCGGCGGTGAGTATGCGGTCGAAGGAGCATTTCCCTACCAAGCGTCGTTACGTTATGATGGTTCACATCTTTGCGGTGCTTCGATCATCAGTCGCCGTTATATGCTGTCAGCGGCACATTGTGTCGGCGATGAGGATGATGAAGGCAATTACTTTGTGTGAGTCTATCACCGAACCACTTATTTGAGTACTGATATATTAATTGTATTTGTATTGGCATGCTTTACAGTTACGCCGCTGAACATTTCAGCATACGTGCCGGCTCCTCTAATCGTCTGCTTGGCGGTGTGGTCAAAAAGGTCATCAAAATTGTTGTGAATGAGAATTATGCCAACTTTTTGCACGATCTTGCCGTACTCACTTTGGAAACACCACTGATTTACTCCAATAACATACAACCCATTCCCTTGGCAAGTGCTGAGGTGCCAACCGGTGACAACGTTATCATTTCCGGTTGGGGTTACACGGCGACCAATGCTTATGCGTCGAACAAGTTAAAATGGAACACTGTTCAAACTCTGTCGAGATTATCGTGCTTAACCACAATCGGCATGGCTAGTGATGCGGTGCTCTGTTTGGGACATTCGGTGGATAATGGCGCCTGTTTTGGTGATTCCGGCGGCCCGGCTGCATATCAAGGTGAACTGGTGGGTGTGGCTAGTTTTGTGGTAGGTGGTTGTGGTACTAGCAATCCAGATGGTTACGCAAAGGTTTTCAAACATTTGGATTGGATTAAGGAGCACTCAGATTTGTGAGCTTTGAACTGGATTGGAATAATGTGTTTTAAGTACTTATTGTATATTTGTTGCGGAATTAAAAGCAGTTTTAAATTAAAATAGAGACAATGAGTTTTATGTAATGAAAGTTGGCCTATTAGATTATTCACTCGATTAGCTGTTCTTACTTCATTTGGAAGAGATCATTCTGACTCTTAAGTGAGTTGTGCTTCATCAGACCGCCAAGATGAAATCAATTTCGGTTATACTGACAACTACCCTAAGCATTCATTTATTTTGTCCTTATGTACGCAGCCTTGTTTGTGATACGATAGAATTGGAACAAGACCAGAATGCTAATTAGCTTTGAGGCGTCTATAAGAAGAAGCAATTAGAGGAAGACAATTTTGGATCTTAAAAATTAAACTTGGGGTCTCTGTTCAGAATATCAAGATCGCTTACCAAGCCTCATTTTGTCGAAAGATGATCTGAATTGGAATTTATAGAAAGATCCTTGAAAAATTAATGAAGACCCTCCATATATTTATCCTTAACATTCCCCAGTAGAGAAGATTGGACCAATCGTTATATGATCAAAAACCTCCAACAGATCGAAGGGTGAAATAGGAGAGAATAAGTAATAGTAAAGTACACTTATAGAACCCCCAGAGGTGATCTAGTAACCAATGCCCAGAGAATATTAAAATTATGAAAGGAACACTCTTCCAGCATACTGAATGGCAGTGAAGAAATAACAACTGGAGATGGTGAACCCGATTCTACAATCGATGACGATGGAGCCGACGTTTCACTGCCCGACCATGAAGAATTTCGAATAGCAATTACCAGTCTGAAGAACAACAAAGCGGCGGGGGCCGATGGATTGCCGCCAGATCTATTCTTGTATCGGCTTCTTCTGCGTTATGCTCTGCCCAATCCACAATCTGCACTCACTAACGTGGGAAAGATTGAAGCCCACCGTCAACAATCTGATTGGACCTTATCAGATTTTAAAGTTACTTTTGACTTCACGAAAAAGAAAACTAATACGGCTGTGTAAACTGACCAAAAAGCTTCGTCAAGAGCGGGAAGCATCTCTCCGAGCCGTTTGATACCAAACGAGGGTTTCAGGCGACGCCCTATCGTGCGACTTCTTCAATCTACTCCTGGAGAAAATAAATCGAGCTGCAAAACTAAACAGTGAAGGTACCATCTTCTATAAGAGTGTACAACGAATTGATATCATTGCAACTGAATCTGGTAGTGAATGAGGTGAAGACGAAATATTTCCTGTCACCAAACAAACAGTCGTCGCACTTGCGACTATGGCTCTCACGTCCATGTTGACAGTCACGATTTTAAAGTCGGTAGATTTCTATCTATATTTCTTGGAACTAGTATTAATACTAATTACAGCCTCAAAATCCAAGGCAGAATAACTCTTGTCAACATTCAATTGAGAAGCAAAGTTCTCTCTGTCCTGCTCTATGGACATCTGATGAGTCGACGTTACGAGTTTTTGAGAGAAATAAAGATTTATAATTCTTTGCACATTGGCAACGGCGAATACCGCAGTCGATCGAACAATGAGCAGTACAAGTTATATGACAGCAGTGACATATGAGTAAAAATACGCCAGCTCTGAAAGTATTAGACGCAGGGGAAGCAGAGGATGTGAAAGACTTACACTCCGTTAGAGAGATCACGTGGAGGAGGTTCTGGCTGCACTTGGTATCTCGAATTGGCGCCAAATTGCTAAAAGGAGACATGACTGTCGCGCTGTTGTTAACTCGCCTGTAATGGCGAAGAGGTGTCTACGTTGCTAAAGAAGAGAAAGTAATAGTAAAGATAAGTAATCCTTACAATTCGGCCTTTAAAGCCGAAATTTTGGGTGTTATAAAAGGACTCAACAGGGTTTCTGCTCTATCCAACAAGTCCATAAACCTTCTAGTGCATACACTGCACTGCAAATATCCAGCTTCCAGCCGGATGAGACGAGATATATTCTACGGCTCCAAATGATCCAACTTATTTTAAGAGACATTGGGTAGCTGGGGTGATAGATGAACGGAGATAAAACTTAACAGATCTGCATCAAAATTACACAAATATACGGAAGAAACAGAAGAGGGAACGAGAAATATAGAAAGGTTCCTCACAGTTGGAATTTTTAGATACTAGCAAGATCGCACGGAAGCTTCTGTCCAATAAATGCTGTCCTTATTTGACTGGAGATGGATGTAGTGAATGTTGACCAAAAATGCATACATTATCTATAACTCACGTTCTTTTTATTGACTTCGATCATATTTGAAGTATGGGTATTACCACCATTTTCTATGAATAGGTTGGTTTCTTGGTTATTAGTTCTTTTGGCGCTTGGAAGTATTATGCCACACTGGATATTCGACTGTTTTAGGCGTATAAATTCTGTGGTGCCAACATTATCGCCTTAACATATTAGCTTATAATAAATAACAGTTAGATTGCTTATCAATTACCTAACTCTGCTTGCGCTAAGCATTATAAAGTAATTTATTTGAGCACAAAGCTTTTTATGAACACTCAAGATACGCCAATAAGTCCACTAGTACGTGCGTGAGACTATTTAGTTTTAGTTTGGTCTTCCACGCGTAACGGTTCAACATGGTAAAATTCGAACTCTTCGCTTTGATCTGCTTGCTAGGTGTTGCAATCAGCCTAGCTGTTCCAACCACACGTGTCGTGGGTGGTGACGAGGCCTACGAAGGACAATTCCCACATCAAATCTCTTTGCGGCGCAGCGGCTCACACACCTGCGGCGGCTCGATACTTAGTCGGTACTACGTGTTGACCGCGGCACATTGTGTTGGTACCATCGATGCACAGGGCAACTATTCCACGTAAGTACTCCGTTTTTGTAATAAGTTAAACTTGTAGAATGTACATATAAATGTTTGTACCATACAACAGTTATGATCCCTCCTTGTTTACGGTGCGTGCCGGTTCCACGGATCGTCTGCGTGGTGGCGTTTTGGTGAATGTGCAATCGATCCTTACACATGAGAATTACGGCAATTTCTTGAACGATGTTTCGCTACTGCGTCTCAGAAATCCTTTAATATACTCGCAAAATATCCAACCCGCCCGTTTGGCCACGAAGGAGGTACCCGCCGGTGAACCAGTTATCATTTCTGGTTGGGGTCGCGTAAAGCAAGGTGGTGATATTCCACAGAAGTTGAAGTGGAACACCTTGTCTGCCATTTCACGTAGTGAATGCAGGGCGGCCATAAACTGGGATAGCGATGCGCTTATCTGTTTGGCCCATGCTCCAAATAATGGCGCCTGCAATGGTGACTCAGGCGGTCCGGCTATGTACGAGGGTGAGGTCGTCGGTATTGCTGGCTTCGTTTATGGCGGCTGTGGTACCGGCAATCCCGATGGTTATGCTAAGGTCTACTACCATGTGAATTGGATTAAACAACATGCTGAATTGTAGATGTATTGATACTAATTCAAATATATTTACTTGCTAACCGTAACTATGGTATTTCTAATACAATTTGGTTGGATTGGGTAGAAATGGTCATAATTTTAACAAGTAACTAATTATTTCAACACGGGAGGGCAAAACTTCCACTCGGTGCAATGTTGGGTGAACTTTTGTTTAGATACAATAACGATCGAAAATCTCAATTTCGTCGCTTAAATATTGATTTCTAATTCTCATCAAATTTTCGAGTCGTCCGATACACACTCGGACAAAGCAACTCCCATCTCATGCGACTTCTTCAATTTACTCCTGCAGAACTAAATAGAGGAGGTACCATCTTCTATAAGAGCGTACAGCTGCTGGCGTACGCCGATGATATTGATATCATTGGCCTCAACATGCATGCCGGTAGTTGGTGGTGCTTTGGGCTGAGTAGGCAATTAAGAAGTAAAGTCCTCTCTCGACGAACAAAAACCAAACTCTATAAGTCAGTCATTCTTCCCGTGGTGCAGAGGCTTGGACTATGAAGAAATTTGATGAGTCGATGTGACGAGTTTTCGAGAGAAAGGTTCTGCGGAAGATTTATGGTCCTTTTTACATTGCCATGATGAATATCTCATTCGATGGAGCGACGAGATGTAAGAGATATACGACAGAACTGACATAGTTCATAATTGTGTCCGGATGGAAGAGAACACACCTGCTGTGAAGGCTTTCGATTCTGTACCCGTCGGTGGAAGCAGAGGAAGATGAAGACCTCCACTCCGTTGAGGAGATCAGGTGGAGAAGGACCTGGCTGCACTTAGTAAATATCTAGAATTGGCACTAAAAAGCGAAAAGAAGAAAGAACTAGCGCAGCTATAACCAAGTAAGTCTGCGGACCTTGCAGAAGAGACTCCACAGGCTCTCTTACCCCATAATAGTTACTCTCTTCTGTATTTTCGTGAAATGGTACCGTCATTAAGAAGCATCACTGAAGAATTTTGCGAAATGGTTCTAAAACGTTTACGGGGCAACCCAAAAAGTTTTAGCGCTTTATGATTTTGTTGGAGGTAATTAATTCAATCACATTGAACCTGTTATTTACGTCATCTAGCTTTACTTTGTTAGACTAGTTAACATACCAACCAACCAACACTATTTTCCAGATAAAGCCGCTTAAGCAGAAGAATGCGGTTTCACATTGACCGACCGGATGGTCTGCTTAGTATTGGTCATATATCGGAGGGTGTTATTCAAACTCTGAATATGTCAAAATATGGGAACTAACAGTAGAATCACCGTAGGGTTATTCCACCTAAATATACTTATTAGTATGAGCACATAAAAGTATGTTCATTATGTTTGTAGAACATATTTACATACCCTGTATGAGCAGCTGCAGTATTGCCGTTTGTCTGGCCCCGAAGTAAATAGAGCGTGGGCGCAATTAAGGCTTAACGGTTTATTTATGGATATATTTGGGAACACAAATATTTTGGAGTGTTTTTCTGTCGTCTACCGTTCAGGTAATTTGATACGCTACTTTTGGTGAGAGCGTTTTTATATATGTACATACATATGTACATATATTTACTGTGATGTGGGTAAATTAAAATAATTTTAAAGTAATTTCTCCAAGGTGGAGCAAAACGCAATGCGCCCCTGGCCTGGATATGCTGGTCTAATAGATTGTGTACATATATATAACGAAGTAAGCAAATTAAAAGGGAAAGTGTTTAAAAGTGAGCTTGAAACTTAATAAATATGTGAGAAAGAAGATATGTCAAAAGAAAAGAAAATAAATCAGTTTGAGAAATCCCACAACAAAACATAAGGTTTGAGGGAAGAAAGTGGTGATTATTTTGCCGTCGTTATTAAGTTTTTCTACACCAAAGTTATGATGGATAAGCTCAATTAGCTGTAAAGTTTGTAATACTTCGACTGAAATTCAATGAACGAGGGACATATAGTGTCGATTTTTGATCTAACTTTTTCAAGCATATACATATGTGCATACATATAGAATCCTTGGTCTAAGCTCGTTGAGTAATGACGGTTTCGCAAGCGCGGACGATGTGATCGCACTTTTCAATTGGGGATGAAGGTTCAGAGTTGTAAACAGTTAGCTAGCTATGCGAAGGGCTACATGATTTTTAAGCTATCGGGAGTTAAACAGAGTTAACAGCCTCATCCATCGATCAGAAATGTCTTTGAAAGCAGGGCACCGTGGATAATGTGGTTAGCAACAAGCGACTTCACTTCTGCGGAGTACCCGGACATAAAGCCATCGCGACCAGTGAGATAGTGGAAGGGATTGTAAAGAGTGGTGCAGGGTTATCACCGGAAACTGTGATCGACTTTGGTAAACCCATGCAATGTCTATACGAACATCTGGACAGGAGCTTGGCAAGGAAGATCGAAATGCAATAGAACCAGTCCCCTATCTTGATACAAAGCTATAAAAATAAGATATGAAAGGGTAGATCAAAAATACACAAAGTTTCTACTGTCACTCGACAGAAGGGACTGTATTAATCACAGTCTGGTGGCGGCAGTCGCCTGCAGAATATTGCTGATAAATCGAAAAGACTGAAGGAAATGCCAAGAGCAAGATATCAGAGAAAAACTCGAGCATCTCTTTTGTACTTTTCTTGCATTGGCATCAGATATCATTAGTTGAGGCAACCTATACAAGATGCCATATATAGAAAGGTTTTTACGAGACTTAGAAACAAAAGATAAATATTAGTGAATTAAAAAGTTGTACAAAGATTGTTTCGACAATCTCTAGAAAGATTATTGAAATGTTTAGGGAATTTATGGCTGAACTGAAAAAAGAAAGTATTGTCAACTCTCTCTCTCTCTAAGAGAGCTTTTACGATTTAAACAAGTTGGACCTTTTTGGAATCTAATAGCTCGTAGGATGGCAGAGTCATTGTTAGAGAAGTATTATAAAAAAGTCTTGCGGTATTTTTGCTAGTTGGCGCTGAGAGCCGTAGTTCTAGTTTTATTCGTAGCATCGGGTCATGATATACCTTTTTGGAAAGCTCATTTCACGCAGTCGTTCGTGCGTTATAGCGTCGCAAACATGGATCAAAATAAAGAGAAAAGTCGGCATATTTTACAGTACTACTACGATAAAGGCAAAAATGCATCACAAGCCGCCAATAAAATTTGTACAGTTTATGGACTCGATACAGTTTCCATTTCCACCGCACAACGATGGTTTCAACGTTTTCGTTCTGGTGTAGAGTTGGTCGAAGATGCGCTACGCTCCGGAAGGCCTGCCGTCGAAAATTGCGATAAAATCGTTGAATTGGTCGAAAGAGACAGGCATAGTAGCAGCCGTAGCATCGGTCAAGAGCTGGGCATGAGTCATCAAAAAAAATTTTATGAACAATTGAAAATTCAATAAAAATACCGCAAAATACCGCAAGACTTTTTTGACAAACCATTATTTGAAAGTATCCAATAACGGCATCTAATATTATATATTAAAACCAAAGCATGCATAGGTGATGCGTTAAATATTAATTTAGTCTCATATATTTCCGCAGTATAAAAAACTTTAGATAAATTATTAACAGTTCACAATACTAAAAATCACGGTAAATATACATTTGTCATATTGGAGATAGGCCGAAACAGAGCTCATAAGCGGCCATTAAGATATGAGCACTTCGGGATTGTAATATTCTTCTATATGAATAGATCACTTCAAGGAAAAATAGCTAAAAAAATATTTTATTAAATTCAGATATCATATAAGCTTAGAATAGTAAAAATAATGATACTGAACCAATTTTAATCTCGAAATCCCGAAACTAACAGTTAATTTTTTTCGTTCGGAATTATTTCATATGCGTTTAATTTTAAATTATATTAAACATTTTTGGGATCCTGAACTGAAGAAATTTTAGTCCCGAAATCCCGAAAATAAATATTAATTTTTTCGTTCAGAATTCATTTTTCATGAGTTTAATTTTGGATTATATTGAAAATTTTTGGGATCCCGAACTGAAGGAATTTTAGTCCCGAAATCCCGGAATTAAATGTTAATTTTCTTCGTTCAGAATTAATTTTTCATGCGTTTAATTTTGAATTATGTTGAAAATTTTTTGGATCCCGAACTAAACCAATTTCAATTCTGAAATCCCAAAACTAAATATTATATTTTTTCGTTCGGAATTATGTTGGCAGCATTTAATTAATTCATTTTTATTAAATAATATATTTGTGATATTCCAAATTGCTGAAATTTCAATCTCGAGAACCCGAACCAAAATTGAATACTAACTATGTGTATTATTCCTGTGCATCATTATTTTTGCACGCTTTCGGCTGCAATTTTTCCATTCAATAACACATGTAGGAACAGTGAATATTGTATTCATCTCACATATTGCAAAAATAATAGCAACATAAATATTTACACTCATTGGCAAATATGTATTTTCGTTTCATTGGAACAGCACTTAATTACAGCGCGCTTTAAATCAATCCTAACAACATACATTATGTACGTACATATGTAAATTTCGCAAGTGATTTGGCAACAACTGCCTACCTAATTGTCTGTCTTATTCTCGGGGCTATGCATTTCAGCTGCTCTGAGGCCACACCTAATTTCTGACAATGAATAAGCAATAAATAACGCTTACGTTTTGTTTGTGTTGAGAATGAAATCAACTGCAGCTTGCTATATGAAAAAGATTTAGAGTTAGTTAGAGTAGCGCAAAATCGAAAAAAACCGAAACTCAAAGCTGCGACAGTAATCTTGTAAGTCGGGCTTAAATACGCCAAGTACATGTCAAATCGAATAGAATTCATCAACTGCTTAGTCGTTTTTTTATTTTACACGGCTTTTGTTTACTTTTACAAACACCGTTAGCAATGCCATTAATACTGGTTTGCAATTTCGCAACAGCATCAAAACAGTTGACAAATGAGTCCATTAACTTCTTAGCGTGAAGATCGTAAAGATAGCCGAAGGTAAAACCAGAATACAAGCTGTAAATATGTATGTATGTTTGTCGGTCGTGTAGCTTAAGAATAAGAGGAAATGATACGTCAGTAATAAAAGCAGCCGGTAAAGTGGTTGAGTGACATTTGAGTGAAAAAGACTGAAGTTAAATATCATTTATGACAGCAGACTGACTGAATCCTAGTGACAGCTTGATTGTCATAGCAGATGTATGACGATGAAATATGTGTTTTTATGTTCGTTGAAGAACAGTTCGATAGAGCATAGGCTGCTCATTTTCACGACGCATAAAGCTTTCATAGCAACACTACAACTGTCAAATATATGGAGCTTGACAGCTGTCGAAAATTCAAGCAAAATCTTACATTTATTTCCAATGAGTTATCAATAACCGATAAAGATAAGTAAACTTTTGTGGATTCTATAACAATTTTATATTTATAGTGTAAGTGAAGATCAGTTATCTAAGCCATATAAAAAGTGATCAAATCAGGAATCATCGAAAAAATACGTTTGGAGTTCAATTGGCGTGAGGTAAGTTGTAAACATCCCCTACAACACCATATTTTGACTTGATTAGATTCGTATATTCATGTCACTAGGCCTTGGCGTTCATCAATTCCCAAATTGGATGATTAACGTTTATTATATGGGGATCTTTTTGTACTTAGCGGGTTTCATGCCTAGCGCACAATCGTTTTTTGGCTACACAGAGAATAATTGGTCTAAGATCTGCAGTCGTGAGCTGCTTGGGCCATATGTAAAATAATCGTCTCTCCACTATTGCTCACAGAGAACTCTCTTCCAAGGCATGGGTCAGCTGATGAGAAAGGTTCTGCGAAAGATTTAGGGTCCTTTATCACTTTCGATGGAACAGTGAGCTGTATGATGTATATGACGACATTGACATAGTTCAGCGAATTAAGAGACAGCGGCTACACTGGCTTGGTCATGTCGTTCGAAAGGATGAAGACAATCCAGTCCTAAGTATTCGACGCAGTACCCGCAGGGGGAAGAGAAAGATCTCCACTCCGTTAGAAAGACCAGTTGGATAAGAACTTGGCTACACTTGGAAACTCCAATTCGCGTCAAACAGCAAAAAGGAAAAACGACTGGAGCGTTGTTGTAAACTCGGTTATAATCTCGTTGGCGATGTCTACGCCAATATAGAAGAATCCACAAAAGTAGAGTTCTAGAAACGGGAAAATACGAATGTGAGAAAATTAATTTCTTGGCTAGATTTCTCACAAAGCTTACCGAGAAAGGTGTAACAGGAATGAGCAAATTCTGCTCTGAACTCGAAACTCACATCAAGGTCTTTGTGGTCGAACAAGGGGCTTAAACTTAATTCAGCTTCAAAAAGACTTCCCTTCCTAGGAAAAGCTATAAATATCCTAATTATTTATTGCCATTTCGAACAGTTCTCGTATATGTCCGTATCTCGACAGCTATAACCGTCAATTTAAGACCGCTTGGCGCAAACTCGTTTGCCGCACGTTACTCGCTTAGCTGGTTTTCCATTCGCGAAATTACTTTCCATGGAAATAAAAGAAATGTGCAAGGTGGGCTATGCGCAAGCGCAAAGCAACTCGAGTTTGATTGATTGGAGACCGCCGCGATCTTGAGACTTATACACAAGTGAAAATGTGTGAAATTTTTCAAAAAATTACAATGTGCGCAGCTGTAACGGTATGCGTTGTAATATGTCAACAATGCAATGCAATAAATAATTTTGATTGCTAGAAAAATGTAATTAAATACATACTGACAACAAATCGAGATAGTGCCTAAATGCGTGATTGCAAACAGTTATATAGTTGTTTTTGTAACTAGTAGCACCTTTAGTAGTTACGATAAGTGACCTTTTGAACTGACTAAGTTCTCAGACGTTCGATAGAGCATACGACCAGTAACTCCAAAACTCTTTACCGATGAGAAATGTATTTGAAAATTGCAAGAAAGTCAGGGGAAATATTTAAGGTTAATGAGCTTATGGTTTATCTTCTTTGAGCCAAACCTTACAAAAATTTAATACAATTTGAAGAAGCAGATTCGAATGGCAAGACAATTATTTTTTATAAGATCAAATATTTATATAGAAATTCTTGATTTCATTATGTTGTCGAAATATTTAAAAAATCCTTTTAAGTCACTCAACGGTTGATCTAAACGTTAAAAACAGCCGAATTCACTCAAAAGCAAGGAAATCAGAAATCATTTGATAAAAAGTGGATCCATTATGATAATCCTAAATGTAAAAAATCATATGTGAAATCTGACCTACCAGTCGAATCAACGGCAAAGCCGAATATTCATGACGCAACAGTAATGCTCTGTATTCGGCGGGATCAGAAAGGCGTGCGGTATTATGAGCTTCTAAAAGTGGGTGAAACCGTTATTGAGAAATGCTACCGACAACAAGTCATCAAATTGATGCTAGCGAATGCCAAAGAACGCCCAGAATCTTCTACTAGACACAAGGTGAAATAAAGGCTTTAAGTATTGCCTTATCTGTCTTATAGATTACACATTGCTCTTTCTGACTTTTATTTGTTCTGAACGTTGAAAACACGCTCACTGAAATACGATTCACATCAGCACAGAATATCAAATATTGGCTCTTGTACTTCAATCCAACGCGGATTCTTTGGAATGGAGTTCACAGCTTCCCAGTAAAATGAAAAAATTAAATTGCATTCGATGGGCAATAATTTGAATAATATTAACGGATTATCCAAGTAGAGATACTTTTTAAAAGCCTTTTTTGACAGATCACGGATGATTCGTGACATGTTATTTTTGTTCAGTAATGAATGTGTTTCACGCGCTTCGCTCAACTCAATAACTCAATATAATCGGTCTGCTGAGCATTCGTAACACCATGACTCATATTGAACTCCAGCATTCATTATTGAATAATATTTGACCGAATAGACCACGTCCAGTACGCACTGAAGAAAATATAACAGGCGTATCTAAAGTGTACACGAATACTGTGCTGAGTCGATTCGTCGCCATTCGCAGGAACTCAACTGAATTGAAGCCGCTCGACCTTCGCAAGCGACGTCGCTTCGCTCTATGGGCTCATGCCCACGCCTTATGAACACCCATTTCTGGCTCAATGAGTATGTAAACAAGCAAAATTGCCGCATTTGGAACGAAAGTAGACTGAAGAGATTCAAGAGCTGCCCTTTCATATAGAAAAAATAGCGGAATAATATGGTTTGTGGGCCGGTGGAATCATCGATCCATAACCGAATGTAACCGTCAGTGACGAACGTTATCGCGCCATGATAACCAACTATTTGATGCCTGAAGCTCGTGATCTCGGCGACATTTGGTTTGAACAAGGCGGCGCCGCTTACCACAAATCGCATCAATCAATGGATTTATTGAAAAAATACTTCGGTGTGCATATAATTTCAAGTTTTGGGCCGCCACGATCGTGTGATATCACAACGTTAGACTTTTTCCTGTGCGGATATGTGAAGTCTAAAGTTTATGCGGACAATCTCGCTTCGCTTTAGGCTTTGGAGCAAAACATCGCGCGAGTTATCCGCCAATTACCATTTGAAATGCTTGAATGAGTCTCCGAAAATTGGACTCAACGAATGGGTCATCTGAGCATTTGAAAGAGATAATCTTGAAGTCTTGAAAAAATTGGCATTTATGGCATGAAATGTTCTTGAGAATGATAAATATTCCCCAATAAATTTGAAATGTCTGTTGTTTTCTTTAAAAACGTAGGGAATCTCGAAATGGATCATTCTTTATAAGCTTATTCAAAGAAGCTTTGAAAATAAATAAAATCTCAAAAAATAAAGCAAATTTTACTTCTCAAATTCGAAGCTCAATTGATTTGACTCCCTTTCATGTTCTGAATCACAAAACAATAACAGCACTACAACAAGTAAAGCAGTCCATAGAAAACCGCTGATCGCAAATCTGTTAAGAAAACATCTAACCTAAAACCATGAGCTCCCTTTTTGCCGGAGGAGTTTATGTTGCTGACCACAAATGATACGAGAAGCTCGGCCAAGCATTTCGTGAGGATGTAGGGAACAACTATATACATATATATATATTATTATATTGAATGAGAAAGCTGCAAAGCGCTACAACTTTCCGGATTATAAGAGTACAAGAGCGTCACGATTGGCAAAATTGAGAGCGAAAGTGTTTTTTATAAGACATGCGCAGAAAAAACATAATCAATTTGCAAATTATTTTTGCATGTAAACAATGAATTATGACTTTTTTTACTCAACACACACATTTTAAATACTCAATTTCAGCTTCCTTGTGGTAGTTAGTTGCAGGCAGAAACATTTGAAAACAAAACATTTTGACTTTGCTCGATGTTTTTTCTGAAAGCCAGTTTTAGTTCACGCTTTACGCGGTCATAAACTTTTGTGACTATAATTACAACGACAACACAGTAGCTGCCTCACACTCTCTTCGTTGCTCTAACATATCTACAAATGCAGATAACTAGTCACACACATACGCAAATATATAAGAGTGAGCGCCTTTAACCTTCACCTTGACTGCCTGCAACTGTCAGCCAACTGGTACAGAGCCAACCAGCGAGCATTTCAGCTCCTGCATATCCTTGCCATTGACATTGGCCGTGAATGCTGCATTTGTGCATCTGTACTTTACGGATATTACACTTTGCACTTAAATTTTCTAGCTACAAGCACATGTAGCTTTATGTGTATATATTTAAATACTTGAGTAGTTTTCGGAACCAGTTGGTTACTAGTTTTTTTTTTTTTTATAAATGTTTGTTTATTTGAACTCACCCTACTGTGAACTGATTTAAACGCAGCTGTAAATTTTAAAGACAATGTGAGCGTTGTTAATGCTGCTTCGTATGGTTTTCACTTATATTTCGAAAATTTATGATTTCACTGGAAAAGAGAGAAGAGTGAAAGAAAAAAATATAAATATATTGTTTTTAAACGAAAGTTTATACTGCTTATCAGCAAATGTTAATTCATTAGATAAAGCCATTTCATTAGGTTATCTTGTTGAACTTATCAAATTAATCATAATTTATTAATCAAGCGTTGATGCAGTGGCACTTTATTCGAATAAGAAATTTTTCTAGGACACAGTCTTCTCAGATGGAGCTGATTTATGGCTTAATGAGACGACGACGTCATTGCATCCCTAAAAATTTGGTACGGTTCCTTTCGAAATGAGCAGAAAATGGCGTTGGCAACATTAACGACCGTTATAGCATGATGACATGACCGACTTTTTTCAACAGAAATTTATGAAATCAAAGCGGATGAGCTCTATTTCCAACAAGACGGAACGTGACCTCAGATTTCCCCTTTAAGCATTGACATATTGCGGAGTGGTTTGGCGACTCGTTAATTTTCCGAAATGGCGCAGTCGAATGGTCACCAAAATCATGTTATTTAACGCCCCTAGATTATTTTCTCTGGGGGCATGTTAAATTAAAAGTTTACGTCAGTCAACCAGCAACAGTAACACTGCCATGGTAACCATTTCATAAACAACAAAAAAAAAAAAAAAAAAAAAAAAAAAAAAAAAAATTGATACCATTTGGACCAAATTTGAGTGTTTTATTTCAGTTTAACATCACGTCATTCTTG